TGTGGTTTTTGCCGCATTTGATGCAGCGGCTGGCCATGCGGCAGTTCCTGGTGCCGTGCCCGAACAATAGGCAGTTCGAGCACTGAGTGACGCCACGGTGGGTTGGCTTATACCGCTCCCACTTCACTACGATGTGGAACAGTGTGTGTGTCGTATGGAGATCCTTCACGGTTGTGGAGTTCTTCTGCAGATGGACCAAGTAGAGCTGGTCACGATACTTGATGGCCTTGCTGCGGGTCATCTTGTGGATTTCGACCGGCTTGAGGCCGTTCGCCTTAATCTCGTCCATTAAGGTGGTGGTGTCCATGTCGTGGAGCCCGCGCAGCACCACTTTCAGCGGCTTGGTGGCCTCGACGTCGTGGGAGAAGTACTCCAGCTTCATCCTGTCCAAGAGGGCCTGGACTGCGTTGTAGTGATTTTCGGCCGAGACCATCAGTTTGTAGCCTTCCGTGCACCGTTGAATGGTGCAGCGAAGGCCCTGCTTAATGTAGAAATCCAGCTGCTCCAATAGCCCGGGAGGGAAGCCCTTCACATAGAAGGGTGGCAACTTAACTTTTTTAGGCACCGTCTCAGGGTCCGACTGCGGCTGGGCTCCGTTCTGCAGGGCGGAGAACGGATTGTTGCTCAGCAGCTTTTTTGCTACCGATGCGGTGGCGCTGATGTCTTCAGGTCTGGGTCGTTTAGTTCCGGGAGGCCCCGGCTGCGGGTCCGCAACGCCTGTCGGGACGGGCAATGGGGTTTTCTTCTGCTTCTTCTGAGCTGGCTCGGTGGTCGCGCCGTCTCCTGGGAGAGTCTGTTTTCCCGGTAAGCCGGCACTCGCGTTACCGCGCGATTTCTTACCCATGGCTGGGTCAGCGAGAGCGTCACTATACAACGCGGAGCTAATTCGACTTGCGAACGAACGAACGAAACTAGAGAGAATTCAAATCGACTGAACTGCTCAACAGTCTGGCAGCGAATGATGGTTGAATGAGGTAGAAACACTGTTTGAATTGAAAAAAAAAAAAAAAAAAAAAAAAAAAAAATTTCAAATTTCGACTTTTTTATACCTATTCGAGGGTTAAATTCTTCTTGTTAGTTGTTGTATTCTGTTCTTTCATCGTTTCTGATTGGTTGAACTCAGCAAACGCATGTTATAAAACAGAATGGAAGTCATTTTTTTTATTCCACAGTTTGCTTTCAACGTGAGCACATCGCCGCTCGCAAAAGCGCACCAGCCACCGGAGGAGTAAAGAAGCCTCATCGCTACCGGCCAGGCACCGTCGCCCTGCGTGAGATCCGTCGTTATCAGAAATCGACCGAACTGCTGATCCGCAAGTTGCCTTTCCAGCGTCTGGTCCGTGAAATTGCCCAGGACTTCAAGACCGATCTGCGCTTCCAGAGCTCAGCTGTTATGGCTCTACAGGAAGCTAGCGAGGCTTATCTGGTTGGACTGTTCGAAGATACCAACCTGTGTGCCATCCACGCCAAGCGAGTCACAATCATGCCAAAGGACATCCAGCTGGCTCGTCGTATCCGTGGTGAACGCGCTTAGATTCCCCGTCGAAAATCTTACCAAACCGGCCCTTTTCAGGGCCACTAAGTTCATTTATGAAGAGTAAGAGTAGACCTTTTAAAGAACTACAAACATACACACTTAATCGAGCTCGGTGAAATCTCTAACAGCCGATTACTTCGGCAGTAAATTTTGCTGATATCTCTGCAAAATATCTGTTTGTTAGCTGATATCTCAGTAAAATGTTATTTGTTAGCTGAGTCTCGGCAATTGTTTTACTGAATCTCAGCAAAATAAATTGCAGAACTACTCGGCTGTTGGAATCTCGGCGAAAAAATTTAAGTGTGTAGTTTTCATCAAGACTATTTTTTCTCATTGATGGCGCTGTTCTATTGATAGTAATTTAGAAATATGGAAAAGTGGACGGAACGCTTTGGATGCATATTATGGTCAAAATAAGTAAAAAGATATCATTCAATGACTTTCTTGCCAGAATGTGAAAGGTTGAAGTGATGTGATGGAGCGTTCATCAATCTGCGGGTGTTAAGCTTAAATCAACGTAGGTCCTGCTGGTTACCGCTACTAATCCAGTACCGACAATATTCTGCATACATTTTGGTGTGGTAGTTCCAGATACGTCGTGCACTTCCGGAATCTAGAGAAGAAATTAATGAAAACGCCTGAGTTGTCCGAACGCGCTTTGGGGAAAGATATCGCAAAATAGTTATTAAGGAATATTCCTAAAATATAATATACACAATTAAGTACAACACACAACAGACGTTATCCAACGCCAACCCTGCGGTCGTATCTAGTATACAACCCTTCCAACTTTTTTTTTCTGTGTACTAGACTGAAAAATTACATCCAAATGGTTTTACAGGTTTCGTTTGCGTTTTCGTTTTCGTTTCGTAGACGGCAAAACAATCATGCTCCAGTTATTTTTTTAAACCTATAAACCAATAAAATACGTGTGGGATACACCCTAAGCATAGTGAAATGCTGTCAATTGACGCTGGCTGGACCAAAAGAAATACAATATCTGGCAACACTGCTCTCATCGTCGTTGGTTGGCCTCACCGTCATTGGCGTTGACGGCACCGTCCAAAAATTTGCTCTTCCAGCAAATATAGACAGTTTCTTATGGGAATTTTCGGTGGAGTGAAAGGATAGTACAAAGTCCGCCATGTTTCACGCACAGTCTGACGTTTGCTTATGGATTTTCTCATAGGAGTAAAGAGCTAAAGAGTCGCCGTCAACGCCAATTCTTCCTATTTCTCCAACTGGCCATCAGACAGGCAAGACGTTGTTAGCGGTCCTCCGTTGTCGCGTGTGGTCAACGAGCGAAACTTCACAATACGTATATGCTTTGTTATACCAACAATCAATACGAAACTAACGATTTTAAATTGGCTCACCACTTTAGTAGCCTATTGGTCCCAAGCAAACGATTAACGTACCCTATTCTAGTTGAAATTCTATTACTACACTATGTTTGTTTTGATTCGCTATGAAAGTTTGACAGATAACATCAGGGGTGTGTGGATTCATGCAGAACATGCAGGGGTGAGTGAAATAGCTTGGGACTGCTTGGGACCGTTGTTCTGGTACTGAGTGAGCCAAAAATAATAATGATTTTCTTCGGGACCCAGTGGTCTTAGAGTTACCTCTATGGTTATACTATGAACCGTGTTTTAATAATATTATTGATACAATGAAAAACAAAAATCCTGCTGGGAGAGCAATATAAAACCGAAGATTGCTGAAGAAACAGTAACAACGAAAATAAATGTTGATTAAGTAAAATTTTGCTGAAAATTACTGGAAAATCAGTTAAAAGCTGTCATCTATTCTTATGCTGCAACTTCAGCAAATCAAATACAAATTCACTGAAGATTCAATAAAGTGTTGCAATTTTGACAGAAGTTCAAATTGCTGGAAGTATCAGCAACACTATTTTGCTAGATAGTTTGCTGATATATCATCAAGTCTATCACACTCATTTTTTATTGCTGGCAACCAGCAAAATTTTGCTGGATTTTGCCGAGCTGTATAACCAGCAATCCTTTCAGCAAAGTAAATTTTGTTGGCTTTCCAGCAAATATTTTTTGACAGAAGGTTGCTGGAAAATCAGCAATTTCTTTGCTGAAAAATATGGGGTTGATTTTGCTGGAATTTCAGCAATTACGCAATTACAAGAAGCTTTTCTCGTTTTAATAAGAAAAACAGTAAATCAATGCATCAAGTAGTTAGAGAAAGCACTTAAACATGCTTAAACCATAGAGGTAACTCTAAGACCAGAAGGTCCCGAAATAACGTGCTCAACTTTTTGGCTCAGCTCTGGTACTCTCTTCGGTCCCAAGCTAATCGATTCACCCCTCGAAACATAGGAAAAACGAATAACCCCTCATTTTATCTGTCAAACTTTCATAGCGAATCAAAACAAACATTTCGTAGTACTAGAATTTCTACTAGAATGGGGTACGTTAATCGTTTGCTTGGGACCAATAGGCTAGTCAAGTAGTGAGCCAATTTAAAATCGTTAGTTTCGTATTGATTGTTGCTTAAACCCTCTTTTATTCAGTCGTTATTAAAATAACTCTACACAAAACTATTGATTATCTTTAAGTTCTTCTCCATCCGCACGTAAGCATCTTCTCCATCTTTCTACCGAATATATCTAGAATAAAAGGCATATCTGTTACAAGATAATATTTCCTTCAAAATATTCCCGTGTCTTACCGTTATTATTATGCAAAACAATCCAGTTGAAATTTTACAACGCAACCGTAATAAAAAATAACCATAAACGAACGATAACCCAAATCATTGAACTATTCCACAAATGGTTTGGATGATACCCAGAACACGTCGTTAAGCAAATTAACCATACAATTTTTATTAGAGAATGCTTTTCTTGCATAATTTTATTTGTAAGCGGTCGTCCAAGAATTACAAGTCTTTTTGACAGTTCATGATTTGCTGGTTTTCGGCAAAAACAACTGATTACTGGATTTTTCGTAATTAAAAAGTTGTTAGCTGTTTTTTCAGCTAATATCGTTTTGCTGGACCATTTTCAGTAAACCATTTTGCTGGAAGATGAAAACAGAATTTGGTGTGACTTCGACCGAGATCAGGTTCGTGGTGAGTTCTGGCACGAATTTTACTTCATTCTCCTCAATCTTTCTGGATTCACAGGAACTGTCAATGCCATACACTACAGCATTTCCTTCACCGAGGTTTTAGGTCTTATTGCCATCCGCCATATGTATCCACCCGTAAATTCTTCCAATGAATTGAAAGTTTTCTCATTTTTGGCCAAACCGAGTGTTTTACAACTCAAAACCGAGTAGCAACAGAAAAGCGTGAGAGCCAAGCATAACCCGAGCACCGATCTGTCAAACATAATAAAACGTCATGCTGGCTAAACCGTTGATGCCAACCGAACGGAACGAAAACCACGATCAGGGAGAAAAGTCATTCTGGGGCTGCTGCTTTCGTTCGGCCGTGCTGAGAGTCGCATTTGGAGCAGAGTCGAGAAAAGATCGTCTTTCGATTCGACGTCGTGTGCGATTTTTCTTCGCGAGTGCAGTTTAGTCATTATAAAACTCAAAAGAAATTAAATTTTATCTAGGAAACAGACATTGAATCAGATTAGATGGAGCAGTTGTCCCATCGACAGCAGTTTGATCGGGAAAATTTCTGCTGTGTGTGTGAGTGTTGAGCAAGAGTGCTATTCTGGAAAAGAAAAACGGAATTATTATTTTGTGTTGTGTGCATTGTGAGGAAAAATAAAAGCATCGAATCGGTTCCCGTTTTTTTGGTCGCCGTGCGTGAATTGGAAATCTCTGCCCCTGTAGGCGGAAGATTGAGTGGTGTGAAGAGAAAACCCGTCGATCTGGTGTGGTGGTGATTGGGAATATTGGAAGAAAGTCCGTCGTCATCACGCGGAGAAAAGTGGACCGCACAAAGGGTAAATTTTAGAGCTTAGGGATTGGATGATAATTTTCGGTCGGATCCTCCCTTCTGGAAGTGTCTGTTGCTTTTCTGGAATCGAACACAAAGACAGTGCAGCAAGCAAGGAAGCAAGAAGGAAGGGGAATCTATTGTAGTAGAACGAACATACATTGCTGGGAGAAGGTGGTGGAGGAGGAGTAGGGGGTGGTAGTTCCCCAAAAAGAAACGGGAGTTCGGTTGCGGTGTTTAGCTTTTCTGGAACGGGACGAGTTTTGCAGTGCCACCGAAAATAATCGCAGCATAACCGGTAAGTGGATGCATTTTACAATCGGTAATTAGTCGATTCATAAAAATTATAATCGTCGGAAGTGGCTCTTGCCAGTAGGAAGAAAAATGTTGCCTCCCTTGCCCAAAGGTACACACCTCTTCTCTCGGTTGTTCGTCGTCTCAGGCCGTCGTCCGTTTGTAATATTTTCAGTTCCATCTCGTCATCAACATTGTATTCATTATGTATGGGTGTGTTTTGAAACGAAGAATCATCGGTCATCATCGGATGCGTAGGGGGCTGAGACTGTGTGAGTGATTGGGTTGATTGCTGTCTAGTGGCACGGTGGGATTTGGCGTGGAGGTCGGTGGTTAGAACTAATTTAGGATGTTATCAACGTTCCATTTGTTGGATGCAGGGCAGAGCGCAGTGTAAATACAGGGTTGTTACGACTACTCGAATGTCGCGAGTTTCGTGGATTTTCATTTATGATTTTGGGTGTGACGCAAATTTTGAAACAGATTAGTCTAAACTCAACTAAGTTTAAATTTTATTTATTTGAAGTCTCCATTCCAATCATTTCAATGACACATTTTCAAATATGCATGAGTGCCACGTTTTATTTATTACTATGCATTCTCTTGCATGAAGACACACTTTTGTTCGATTTATTTAGACGAACACAGGCTGCCTGTTTATGTGTACCTTAGATCTTTTTGTAATCAGTGGTTTTATCAAAGTGATCTATGTCAAACTGAACAAAAAACAGAAAGTTTCTGAAATTCTCAGAACGTATTTGAGTATTTTAAATTCTTTACAATAGTCTCTAAAATCTCTCAGAAGTTTCACGAGCTTATTAAGGCGTTCGGATCTCGTCTCCGAAAGTCTCTGAATCTCTCTAAAGTCTTCATAACAGTTCTGGAGTTCGTAGATCCTTTCTTAATAACTTGGAAATTCACTATCTGTAGATCGTCAAACCTGATCTCAAAAGTGATTGAATCTTCTCAGCTTTATTTTCCTGATCATCTCAGAGTTTCTTTCGAAGTTCAGTGAGCGTAATAAAAGTTTAATACACTCCAGCAAAATTTAGATAAATTTTGTGAATTTCAAAGAAGATAATTTAACTTTATAGAGATTCAGCGGAATTTGGAGAAGCACAAGGAACATCATCGTTGTTTAGAAAACCTCTCACAAAAACTCAGGGTACACCATCTCCGTGAATTTCAACGGATACAGAACTCCAAAGAATTTCTTTCGTGAAATCCCGAATTCCAAAAAAAAAAAAACAATCATCGTCAGAGATATTCAGCGAACATTAAAGAGGCTCAATGAACTTTAATGTAGTTTATGAAATATCAGAAAGACTGAGGGAACGAAAATCTTTCAAGCATAGAATACTAAAAAACATGATTAATGTCAAGTTTGAGAAGTTTTAGAATTTTAGTTAATTTTGCACTTGTTGAAAATATTTCAAACACAGCAGCTGGGTGCTTCTTACTCAATTAATAACAAATATAACGGCATTCGGGAGGGCACCCGATTGAAGCGATTTTGATGGGGAGAATGGGATTGCCAACTCCCTGTTGCTAACATTTCGTGGATAAAGGTTGGGCTCTTCTCCCCATCTATTGGGACGTTCTGCCTCACGATGGCTTGATTTGGTTACTGGTTGTATGTACTTTTTTCTGGAAGGAGATTCTCTATCACTCCCGTGGGTTTCGCGTGAGTGTTTCTGCTTACGGGTCCGTCCCATCGTTTTTGACCCTTGAGATAGGAGTATGATGAGTATGATAAGAAAGCAAATCTTGATCAAGTAATGTACTAGGAACAGTCCACAGCTATCTGCAGGTGCCTTGCTCTATCATCATCATCAGAAATACTTAGGGAACAGCAAAGTGATGCTTAGCAGAATTTCAGAGAAGTTTTGGAACCCCAGAAAGGCTCATCGGAAGCGGAGTATAGGGAAATTGTTGAGAAGTTCAAATCAACCATAGAGTAGATAACCTTTCAGCAAAACACACACTATTGAAACCTGATTTTTATCAACTATTTCCATGGATATTTTTAAAATGTTTATACAAAACAAGAGGAAGTGTTGATCTTGAAGTACATTTAAAATCTGAATCAATTAGATTGAAATTTTTACAATTCAAACGATTTCAATCTGATAAGATGTTCACGGCTGACGAACGCATTTTCCAGGTTTTCTTAAAATTAATCATACGCACATACAAAATCCTGCTGATCGAAATCCTTTGTCGATAATAGAACAATAGCTGTCTAACTTCGTCTTCTTCTTCTTCTTCTTCTTCGTATTCGCATTCCAAGCTTTTTGTTTTTCGCATATTAGCTTATTGCGTGCTTGCAACTTAGTGTTCTAGATGCACTTCCACAGTTATTAGTTGAGAGCTTTCGATGCCTGTACCATTTTTGCATTAGTATAATAGTTGTGTTTGCCACACATCTATTATACTAAAGGGTGATACGGTCAAAATTTGGTCAATATCAACTTGACGTATTTCTTTCAATTTTGCATTTAAAAAACCTGAACACCCCTCATTTTGAAGGTGTGTGTGTGTAGAATGTTGCTCCTATTTTCCTATTTTGATTTTGGAATTCACTCTTCAGTTGTCAAAATGCCGTCCAAGCAAGAAGAGCAGCGTATCAAAATTTTGCTCGCGCATCGCGAAAATCCGAGCTACTCGCACGCAAAGTTGGCAAAATCGCTAAAAGTTGCCAAATCAACCGTTACAAATGTAATTAAAGTGTTTGGGGAACGTTTGTCGACAGCCAGGAAGTCTGGATCGGGGGGAAATCGAAAACCGGAAGCCGCTGAGACGACAAAGAGAGATGCCGGTAGTTTCAAGCGAAACCCTAACCTCTCTCTCCGAGATGCCGCAAGTAAGCTGGGTGTATCGTCTACAACCGTGCATCGAGCCAAAAAACGAGCCGGACTATCGACTTACAAGAAGGTAGTGACTCCAAATCGCGATGATAAACAAAATACGACGGCCAAAGCGCGATCCCGGAGGCTGTACACGACGATGCTGACGAAGTTTGACTGCGTGGTAATGGACGACGAAAGCTACGTCAAAGCCAACTACAAGCAGCTTCCGGGACAGGAGTTTTATACGGCAAAAGGAAGGGGAAAGAAAGGTAGCAGATGTTTTCAAGCACATGAAACTGTCAAAGTTCGCAAAGAAATATCTGGTTTGGCAAGCCATCTGTACCTGTGGCTTGAAAAGCAGCATTTTCATAGCTTCCGGGACTGTCAACCAAGAAATTTACGTGAAAGAGTATTTGAATAAACGTCTGCTGCCTTTCCTGAAGAAACACGGTTGTTGCGTACTGTTTTGGCCGGATTTGGCATCTTGCCATTACGGTAAAAAGGCCATAGAGTGGTAAGCCGCCAACAACGTGCAGGTGGTTCCCAAGGACAAGAACCCTCCCAACACGCCAGAGCTCCGCCCAATTGAAAAATACTGGGCTATTGTCAAGCGGAACCTAAAGAAGACCAAAAAAACTGCTAAGGGCGAGCAGCAGTTCAAGGCAAACTGGCTTTCTGCGGCGAAGAAGGTGGACAAGGTGGCTGTACAAAATCTGATGGCAGGGGTCAAGCGTAAGGCCTGGCAATTCGGATTTGGAAAAGCGGAAGCCTAACTGAATATTTTTCCTGAATTTTATACTAATTGAACTTGAAAAAGAAATTTAATTTGATTTTTTAAATAAACGATTTCACCGATTTACACGCGTTTTCCCTTGACCAAATTTTGACCGTACCACCCTTTAATGCAAAAATGGTACAGGCATCGAAAGCTCTCAATTAATAACTGAGGAAGTGCGTCTAGAACTCTAAGTTGAGGCCCGGGAAGTCGAGACATTTTCCAACTCGAAAAATTCCTAGGCGGGACCGGGAATCTACCCCAGTCACCTCCAGCATGGTCTTGCTTTTTAGCTGCGTATTTACCAACACGCAGTTTAAATGGAAAAGTTCCGGACAGAAGTCGCACAAATCTGAGACATTTGTAGCGTTGTAAAAGCGTTTTGAAACAGTTTTGGACAATTCTAAATGGATAGAGCAGCAGGCAGTAGGTGAATGTAATTTTAGCAACCGGGTGTTTGCTCATCTGTCTGCAGAAGTTCGTGTCCAGGCTATTTGTTGGGGAAGGAATTTCAGTATATTCGCCAGGGGTTCCCTCAGCAAAAGACGACACGAACTGACCACATTTTGGCACAATTATTTCAACGACATAAGATTATTTATTGAGGAAAACTTCTTACAAACTTGAAGGCAAATCAACTAATTTTTTCACTCTCAGAACAAATTTTCACACCCGCTTGCTACGATCTTTATTTTGTTGCTATGGTTACGCTCACGACTGCGATACCCAAGAAGAAAAGTTCGGACTGGCAGTGTAAGCAACATTCTCCGGGCCAGGAACCGAGCTGATGGCCTGGAGCAACACAACCTTGCTTACAGGTATTTTGTAGGTTGACTTTGATGTCCGCACCCCAACTGTTCTCACCTTTCCATCCGACCCTTGGTAGATCTTCTCTACAACTCCTTTCGGCCACCTGCCTCGGTGGAGCGATTCGTCCCCTATTATCACTAGATCACCGACGTAATAATCGTGGTTATTCCTGTTGTCCGGCCACTTGCGGCTTCTGATCAACTCCGGACGGAACGAGGCTATCCACCTGTGCCAGAAACGATCCACGTAGATCTGAGAATGCTTGTAGGCAGCACGACAGGTAAGATCTCGTTCATCAAAGTTATGGTCGAACTGGATTGAATTGTTTCGGTCAAGCAGCAACATGTTTGGAGTTATCGGTTTAGGGTCCAGGAGGTCATCCGGAACGTGTGTCAAAGGTCTGTTGTGTACTGTGTTCATTGCCTCGCACAAAGCAGTACGTAGCACCAAGTCCGTAGGGTGCCTATCCCGTAACATTGCACGAAGGGTAGTCTTCACAGAGCGTACTAAACGTTCCCAGCAACCTCCGAAATGCAGAGCACCAGGTGGAATAAACTTCCACTCAACACC